TTAGGCCAGCATTATCTTTTCCTGGCCGTGGCCTGCGCAGATAAGCATGTCTCGCCTCTGTGCTGAGAATACAGAATAGAGCTGTTTTTGTACATGGCTCATTGAAGCCCACGAGCCATGCCTTTCTCTTCAGTCTTGCAGGATCTGGGTCTCATTTGGAAGGATTAGGATTTGCACAGGTAACACAATCAGGGTAACAAAACCCAAGGGTCACTTGTACATAGCAGAGAGAAGACTGGACTGTGTTTCCTCAGTCATATGCTACATCTACACAGATTGGTTTTGCTTTTAGTTTTTAAAATCTGAATATAGACTGAGGGGGTATATCCTGACACTATTTGGTATTTTATGGAGTGTAACTAGTAACTGTAATTAACTACAGTGAGAATATAGATGTCTACAATCTATATGGCAGAGTATACTTTACTGGTACATATTAGAGGACAATGTATATACAAACAGTGTATGTCTGCTTTACTGCATAACGTACTTAAGTAAGTACCAGCTGGCTTGATTCCTTTAAGCCTCTAACTAACCATTCTCAATAATCTATGAGCAGAGTATGTTCCATCTATATGAAAGCCGAAACTATTTGAAATCCTGTAACAATCAATCTCTTTGTGTCATAATTCCATATTTAAAGAGGGAGTGTGGATAACCTATAAGCATTTCAAATTAAACTATCAGTCTTGGCAAGATGCCTGTCGTGAACAAAACTGCTCTGGTAATGTTTGCTAAGCTTGTCTTTTGATGAGAGCTAACCCAGGCTTCATCCCATCCCGATCAGTTCCCCTCAGGTGATCCGCCTAGGGTTAATGCTCGCCTTCCTCATACACTGCACTCAGAGACTCTTCCTGGCAATTGGCTAAATCTTAAACATAACCTTACTGCCCCGCCATGGTAATTTCCCTGCAGAGTTCCTTGTTCAACCATCTCTTGCCCTGCCTCCCACTGCTTGCCTGTGGTCTCAGGAGGGGAGTAATTTCTGCAACATTTTTGTTTCTTTTGGTTGCTCTTGTGGATGGCAAAGGCACAACAATAAGTGGAACAGATCTCTGTTAGTTTAGATATTTTTAAAATTTTTCTAAGATTCACTGACGCTATGAAAATGAATACAATAAATTATTGTTGTCCTTGTAACATTTATTTTTCTTGAGCCTGTTTCTGTTTCACATTGGAAAAAATATCTCCAAAATAAAATAATGGCATCAGATTTTTGGGAAAAAATTCTTTCTGATGGATCTATTAACAAAATACTAATACCATTAAGCAGGATCCATCTCCCTATAATTCTTGCTAGGCAATGTTACCCTACTGAAAACAAAGTAGAAGTTGGACAGGACACTGCATTGGTGCTCACCTTTGCTGCACTATGAGGACATTTCTCAAAGTGACTTTTTTAAAATTAATATTACATGCTGTTCAAAACAAAAATGTTAGTCCCCTAACTATTCATCCCATTCAGATGAGTGCAGCCTGCTCTCCCCTCCTGGGCTTCAGCAGAGAGAGCTTCAGAGTCCTCATGGCCAAGACACACAAAGGAATTCCACCAATTATTTCGTTGGCTTGTCCTGTCTTAAATGAACTCTGTCTTCTGATGCTGATGGCAGTTCTGAAAGCCACTTCCTAGCTGAATGCTTTAGGCACATGAATAGATTTCATATTCTGGATTTTTTCACAAAAAAAATTAATAAAAATAAACTAACATTCTCTTTAAAGTGCCAAGTAATTAGTCCTAAAATCTTGCTAAAACTACATATTTTTGACGAATTGCTTCTGGCCTGGACATGTGCAGTGTTCACTGACATGTTGATACTCTAGATTAGTCCTAAAACAGGATGGATATTTTTAACGTGAGTAGTCTTCAAATACTCATAGGTAGGAGAATCACACGAAGTGCTTGTAACAAAGACTCAGTCCTTCAAACCCAAGACTAAATTAGGATCAAGCCCAAGATTTTCAACAATCTTCCTGCTAAAATTTGAGATCTTATTTTTTAAAATTTAAGGGATTATTTCCTTCATCACTTGTGACTGTTGGCTTTCAAGCTGAGTTACATCATCTCCTTAATCTTTCCTTGTCTTTTCTTTCTCTGCCAAATATAATTTTGATTTAACAATTACTTATCTGACAGCAATGCTTTCAATAGCCAACTACTAGATGTAGCCAGTGAAGGGCAACCATGGATCTGTTCGTTACGCCTTCCTGTTATTTTCCCAATAAGTAGTTTTGGTTAATGATTATTAGCACATCAATATATATGTGTGGTTTAGAGTCACTCTATGTGGAAAATATTAATAAAGGGAAGTAACAAATAAAATTTTCATAATTGTTCAATAGGCATCGATGTCTCTCTAAATTGTACAAATATTCAGAGTAAGAATATACTTTTGATCAGTATATTTAAAGGCACTACTAAATACTTTAAGAAGCATAAGTAATATCCATGCCAGAGTGAGTACTAAAAATATTTATAATTACATAAATTAATAGTGTTAGAACATGAGTGAGGGCCAGTGTGCATATGAATGAATGTTTTGAACAACAGCTTTTCAAGACAAAAAATAATCCCTTAAAAATCTCTGGTCAGTCCCTCTTCAGAACTCTTTGTGTTCTTGTTATCTTGAAACAGAGGTCGCCTTGATTCCCACAGGGTTAACTGTTTTTCGGTTTGTTCATCCTCGTCTCTGATTCCTGTATTGCTTAGCATAGCCTTCTCAGTTCTAAGATAACATTTCTTTGTAAAGAAGGCATTTGGTAGATCCTTCGTTGAAAGCATGCTTTTCCTTCCTCATTTATTTGTGTTCTTATGTGAAAAAAAGAGGAAGATATAATAGGAAGAAAAAGAACAGGTGTCCCTCAGTGCAAGAAATCTTCTCAGCAATGTAAGTTGGTGATGTGCCAAGATGGTGCCCGTAACACCTTGGCTGTGACTGGGACTTTGCCTGCTTCTGGAGAGTATGTAGAAGAAAGCATACTTGAGTACACTGTCTATTATGAACACATATGCACTCATGTGATAAAGCACATGAGCTGATTTCCTGAACCTCTTTATCGACAATGAACTGAACTGGATTTTGTGTTCTTTTAAACCATCTTTATTTTTAAGCTGTAAGACAGTGTCTGACCTAACATTCATTTTGGGAAGACACTAAGATTAAAATCCAGAAATTCAGGGCTCTAGTCACACCTCTCCCATTTGGTAGCTCAACGTTGTGCCTCAATTACACCTCAGTACACAGGAGCTCAGGCCTTGCTTTCTACATAGAGTTTTAGTTGAAGCCAAATGCTACAGTGTGCAACATACGCACACTTTTAAATTTTAAGCTCCACACAAATTGACAGCTGTTAATCCGTGTTATTTAAAAACAAAATTGTCTTTTTACTGGTCTAACATTCGCTTTCATCCTTTGACCATCACACTTCTCAACAGTGCTTTTGTAGCCAAAGTCTAGAACCCTCCCTAGGTGCTTCTGTTAGGGACATCAATTGTTCAATCAATCAAGCAACCGAGCAGAATCTCATGACAGGGTAGTTCAGTGGTCCCAGGTTAAATCCCTAACACCATCAAAAGTAATCAACTGGCCTGGCAGTGAACTCTAAATCAAACTGAGGCCAATCCTTAGTCATTGTTTGTGCAATGAAGAGAAATACTTTGTTCAAACAAAATCCAGTTTAGAAACCCAGTTTGTGGCACAGAAGGAAACAAAGCATCCTCATACAGTAGGCGGGGCTTGCGAATACTTTCCAAGACTTTGTCTTTCAGGACTCATTGGAATGCTGCTCTTGAGGCTCACAGGTGAGGTGTGTGATGATGTTAATAAGGCAGCATCAATGTCCAAAATCTGCTGTTGACAAGTGCCTCCAGATAGCGTTGTTTAGAAAGATTTCCAGGGAAATATTGCCAACACCATGACTACTGTTTTTTGAAGCACATAGTTTCTGTTTTCCTGATAAAAGTACCTTGAAATACATGACTTTAGATGAGCACATGTACAACTAGCCTTGGCATTGCTATGGTGTGGAGAAACGATGGGGGTCAAAATGGGAGGACGAGCAGACAAGGCAGTCGAGTTCATGAGGCTGATGTAGAAGGGACTTGGCATCAAATATGGCCAACTTTTAGTTTATGTGTGGAGAACTGAACTTCTTCTTGGTATGACTGACTGTAAGTGGGTCAAACACACTTATCAACAGAAACGGTGATTCTCTAGTGCTTCACAATACTGAATTCCGATGGAGTGTGTTTGCTGTTATTGCTCTTTCTCTAGTTTAAGTGTCATTCAGTTTTTAAAAATCATATGGTATTTTAGTAAATTCACTAGTTTAAAACAATAACGATTTTGTTCACTGGATTGAATATTGTGGTTTAGAATTGAGCATAGTAGAGATTATTAGACTATTCATACACCAGAATGAGGGAAAACTCTAAAAACATTCTAATGTAAATCACATTTTAACTTAAAAATAATTGCAAATATTCATGACACAAGTTTCAGGCAAAAGCAAGATGTCAGTGAACACACTGTTTAGTTTTGTGTTCTCTGGTCCCTTAAATAGCTCTAGAAAGTCACTTATCCCCTAAGATAGTAAGACAGATTTAAAAATTTCTAAGTCTAACTTGCTAAAACCATCTGAAAAATTATTTTAATATAGAAAAACTACTCTTAAAACTTAAAAATTAAATAGAGAAGTATAGCTGTGGTCTCTGACAGTTTTTTAGGCATATTTTGAAACAAGCATATCTATATCTTCTAATTTTAGGAGCCTACAAGCTGTAGGGCTTGAGTATTCCTTGAACATAACAAATACATCATGAGATAATTCCATAATCTATTAATAATGTTATAATTAATACATAATACTCCATAAATTATAATTTTTTAAACAAGAGTTGACTAACTTCTATTCTTTGAAAAACTATCCAGGAAAAAGAGCAAGGCCAACTGAGAGCTTGATTTTACTACACAATAAGCTAACTGACTTCTTCTTTGCCAAAGTTTCAGACCCAAAGCTTGCGTCTGTCAGACCAGCACAGGAAGTCGCACCTGTGGAGAGGAATTGTTAGCATCACCCTCATCGAGGGCCGAGACCTCAAAGCAATGGATTCCAATGGGTTGAGTGACCCCTATGTGAAGTTCCGACTGGGGCATCAGAAGTACAAGAGCAAGGTACATCTCTCTCCATCTGTGCTCCTGCCACTGGTGGGCAGGTGCTGACTGGTTAGCAGCCAGGCTTTAGGAGCTGTGACCATTGCGTCCCTTTGAAATGAGGGCTGTGGAAAAGAATGTCGGTCTGTGCCCTAGGTGGCTTTGAGAGGGCCACTCTGCTCTTCTGTCCCACTGCCTTCATCCATTACCCAGGAACTAGCTTGCTGCACATTTGTGAGATTTAAGAGGAAAGAGCAACAATATCCCCACCCGGAAATGCTCAGGGCATTGCCCAGCACTAGCACGTCCAGCATCTGTGATACAGACATTATTTTGCAGGCAATGAAATTCTTTCAGATTACTCTGGGTCATGTTATACAATTCGATTTTGACCAATACAACACCAAAGGTGTTTTAAAAATCATTTATGCAATTTTATTTAATCATATAGCTTTTGAGTTTTATGTCATACTTCAATAAAATGTATTACAATTACATTCGTGTCTCTTCTTCCTCCCCTTTCACTTCTGCCAGCCATTTTCTTCTTCAAATTGACCCCCAGCATGTTCCTCTCTTCCTTCTTTCATTTGTTCCTCCCTTCCTTCCTACCTTACTTTCTCCCTTCATTTCTCTTTCTCTCCCTCCCTTACTTCCTTTCTCTCTCTCTACCTCCCTTTCTCCCTCCTTCCCTCCCTTCCTTTCTCTCCCTCTCTCCCTCCCTCCCTTCCTTCATTTCTTTCTCCCTTCCTTTATCTTTCTCCCTCCCTCGCTTCCTTCCTTTCTCCTTTCCTTTCTCTCTTCTTCCCTCCTTCCCTCCCTCCCTCCTTCTCTTCCTTCCTTTCTCTCTCCCTCCCTCCCTTCCTTCCTCCCTACCTCACTTGCTTTTTCTCCTTTCTTTTCTTTCATCAGGCCCCATGCAGGCAGCAACAACTGTTAGTGTTCATGATTTCAATGGCCATGTCATATGCAGAAATTTTAAGATGCATTTAAGAAACAAAGAGTCAAACCCCTGTTGTTGCTATGAGTCATAGCTATGGCACAAGTTACTTAATGACGTTGTGTGTCAATTTCCCCTTCTGCAGAAATAGAACTACAATGATGTCTACCTAAGCAAGTTATTAAAGAGATTAAATGAATGTACAGTAGACATACAAAGGGCTTAAAATACTGCTGTGATTGTAAGTTCCCAGTAAATGCTAAAAGGAAAAGGAAGAAGGTTAGTGGCATCAGTAATAGTTGTAGAGCAACAATTTTTAGTGGTAATATATTAAGTAATATCAATAGCCAATAGCATGCCATTTATGAAACTAATGGTAATGGCAAGCACCTATGAATTGTAGCTACATCTTGTTATATCCAACTGCTTCCAGGTTTTAACAGCTGGCATTCATAGACACCTTTGGATGAGTACTTCCCATCCATCCTGAATTACATGACAATCACATGCCATTTTTGTGAAAATTCCTTGTCTTTAATGTACTTACTTTTGTGGATTTGGGGTCAAAACCTCATCTAGTTCCCTTATAGTCCAGAAAGTCTTCATTAGTACTTAAGGTCTTCAAAATATCACAAAACTGATGTATTAACAGGCAGTGTATTGCTGGCATGCTATTTGGTGATCTTATGGAGGCCCACATGGAAGATTTAAACATAAATTTTAGGTGGAAGAAAGTTATATGAGAAAGACAATCTGAATATAAAAGGCTAAAAGGTTAGTCTGCCAATGACCTGATAAAAAAGATAAACTATAGCCAGGCAGTTGTGGTCCACACCTTTAATCCCAACACTCAGAAGCACAGGCAGGCGAATCTCTGAGTACGGTGTCAGCCTGGTCTACGAGAGCTAGTTCCAGGACAAGATCCAAAGCTACAGAGAAACCCTGTCTTGAAAACAAAACAAAACAAAACAAAACAAAAGAACTGTATTTCAAAATGCCACAGGAGTTCATCATCATGAAGAGGAAATTTGAATTATCATAGGATTCATCTAGTAATATTTATATTTTTCGCCAGGAGCTTAAGAACAAATTTAAAACAGCTACTATTTAAAAAAAAATAGGTATCTATGACCACTTCTGTATTCTCTCAGTTAACATGATTTGCATGTTCTATTTGGCTTAGTTTTATAGTTCTGCTCTTTAGACATAAAATATGAACCCCACTATGGACAGGTGTCTCTTTTGATCTTTCTGTTCATGATCTATTGCAGATTAATTTCAGATTATGAACTTTAAAGTTGTGATTCATTTGCATTACCTTTACACATTACATACATCATTGCTTTCAAATTCTTTGCATCTAAGGACCCGTCTGTCATACATGAAGAAGAGAAAAGGCCACTGCATACCTCCCTGCTTTAAAATGGATGACAAGAGAAACAAATCAGAGTGTAGTCCAGGCAAATGCTAAGTGGAATTTTATAGCACATTAATATTGGCAACTTCGTTTATTGATTTGTTGATGGGTTTATTCTCTGCATATTTAAAATTACAAAATTGCAGCCTAGACCTCCTTATTATTTATACAACATAAATAACACACTCATGTGCAGTTTCCATGTATGGGAAGTGGAATGCCACTAAATGCTAAATGCTGAAGGCGAAGTCAACTAAGACACCCCAAATATGCTTGCTTATTCCTTCCACTTCCACATAGTTCATTGTCTGTTTTCATGAATTTTAAACATTTATGTGCACAGAGAGGGAAAACGGGAACTCTGGGAATTCTCATCTTCTCTTATTACAAGATAACTGACTATGTGCTCGTTCTTCAATCAGTATCTGTGATAGAATAAATGTTAGTACCTGAATCTGTTGTTGCCCTGACAGGCTGCCTTTTATGCATTTAAGATAGATAATAAGAGAGTGTAAGGGCTTACTTCTGATTTTCTGATTTCTCTGAACACATCCATGCGTCTATTCTCAACAGAGACTAATTAATATCTATGTACACCCTGGACAATTCGGTGGAAGTACTACCCTTCACACGATTTTATGCATAATGTCTCGAGTTGTTTTTAAATATTACTATTAAAACTAAAATAAATTTTGCCTTTTCAGATTATGCCCAAAACTTTGAATCCTCAGTGGAGGGAACAGTTTGATTTCCATCTCTATGAGGAAAGAGGGGGGATCATCGACATCACCGCCTGGGACAGAGACGCTGGCAAAAGGGATGATTTCATTGGAAGGTTTGTGCAATCGGTGTTTTATTTACCGTAGAGATGACAAGCTTTTGTTGAAACAATCTAAACTTTATCACTAGCTGTCAACAGTTTTAAAGAAGGAAACCTTCCATCATTACAGCTCCAGTCAGCACTGACAACTGTAGATTCAAACAATGACCAGTAGGTGGCAGCTTTGCCTAGTGGATGGACAGGCTGTTCCAATTTGTATCCAGAAATTTGTTTTCAGATGTCAGAATAATTGTGCCTAAAAGTTATGGGAGTCGAAAAAGGGGACTTTAACCTGATATGGGACACTTGTAGAAGAAAGGATGCTCTCAAGGGTAGGAAGTGGTCATTCTCAGAGTGATCAGATGTGGTATGTCCTCAGCTTTCTACAGAATCCTTATAACCTCTTAGGAGTTAATACATCATGAAAGACTTCCAGAATTTTTGAAAAGGAAGAACACGAGTGAGTCAGATCGTTTTAATTTGATAATGCAGCAAACTGCGTTCTAAGGCTTGAATGACATTTCTCTACAAAGTTAAGGTTATTTAGATCAACTACTTGAATGATAGGGACTGTATCTGATTAAAAAGTCTATTTTTATATTTTTGGCAGTTACATATGTCCATTGTATCAAAATGTGTGAGAACTTGCCAGCATAGAAAAAGCACGGTGCATAGAGAGGTTTATTATTTTTTTAAAAATCTCCTTTCAATGTAATCATGGAATTTACAATCCGAAGAGAACTCATACATTCCCAGCATAAAGGAAATTTCAGTCTAAAAGTAAAAAGAGGAATCCAAACTGACATTTTTAGGTCCTTAGTGGGTTTTTTTTTTATGATTCTGACACACCTATTTAAGCAGTAGCTTTCAGCACATGCCTGTGCAACAGGAGACAATGCTGTTTCAGTTAACTATAGTATCTGGTTTGCAAACAAAGTTGGGGAAACACCACTGTGGGCTACAAATTGCACTGTATCAAACCTTTGGAAAACAGGGGCCTTGTTTGCACTTTGCCCCTCAGAAAAATACTATTATCAGAGTTTTCTGGAAGTCATTTTGTTCTTCTTGGTAGCTTAAGTCATGGCGTATATCTGCCAGTCTCAGTCAGGGTCAGTCCACAGTGGCTTTGCATTTGACTGGGCTGCAGCCTTGATGAACAGTGAATTGCTGGTGTGTTTGACGAAAGTGAGAAAACAGAAGGAATAGAGAGCACAAGCAAGGAACTCAGGACCGCGAGGGGTGCACCCATACACTGAGACAATGGGGATGTTCTATCAGGAACTCACCAAGGCCAGCTGGCCTGGGTCTGAAAAAGCCTGGGTTAAAACTGGTCTCGCTGAACATAGTGGACAATGAGGACTACTGAGACCTCAAGAACAATGGCAATGGGTTTTTGATCCTACTGCACGTATTGGCTTTGTGGGAGCCTAGGCAGTTTGGATGCTCACCTTACTAGACCTGGATGGAGGTGGGTGGTCCTTGGACTTCCCACAGGGCAGGGAACCCTGATTGCTCTTTGGGCTGACGAGGGAGGGGGACTTGGTTGGGGGAGGGTGAAGGAAAGGGGAGGCGGCGGTGGGGAAGAGACAGAAATCTTTAATAAATAAATAAATTTTAAAAAAAAGAAAGGAGGCTCTGATAGTATTCGTGTTAGCAAAAGACAAGGGAAAATCCAGCTTTCAGGGATCGGGAGGCTGAAGCTTCATTACAGACTGTCTGAAGTGAAGAACCATGTTATTTATTCCAGCAGTGAAGTCCTCAGTCGTGTATGAGATGGGTTGAAAGGGGAGTTATAAGAATGATTAGCACGTTGGCAACCAAACGTCAATCCTGAGTGGTGCAGGAAACACACAAAGGGGTCGACTCACAGAGGGAGCAAGGGCAGGGAAGGAGCGCAGGTTCCAGGTCTGAAGCATTTGCTCTGGAACTACTGTGTGAGAGACAGCAGGGCGTAGATGTGCAGTGTAGTGCACAGGGCAGGCGGAGATGTGGTTCCTTGGGAGCCAAGTGGAGGAAGCCATCAGCCAGTTTCTGCTCTGTTGCGGGTGAGGCTATGCGGCCCCATTGGAGACCTGTAGTGGATAGCTAGGGGTAGAATCCTGACTTCCTGAGTCTGAGTGAGAATGGAGGAAGGCAATTGTCCAATGCTATCATATTTATGTTTCACCATTCCAGAGGTGAACACGTTTCTTTAATTTATAGTCAGCCTTGTTTTTATTGTGAGCAAACTAGACATGAAGGTCTTCCAGGAGACTGTCCTCTTAAAGAACCTACACACACTAGTAGATCAGTTGTGTGAGAGAGGAACCTACACACACCAGTAGACCAGCTGTGAGAGAGAGGAACCTTCACCATGGCAGCAGCCACTTCCTCCCACCTGTCTCTTTATCTGACAGTCTGTTCCCAGCTTGATGACACGGGGCATCGTTGTCCGATTGGCCCCTTCATTCTGACCCCCCCTTTTTTTGCTCCTCTACTTCTGGATCTTTTTTTTAACCTGACTCTTCTTGCTGTTCTTAGTTGTTTGTCAAGGCTCAGAGAGTGGTGGGGACTCCAGCAACTTCACTAATTGTGGGTTGTAAGGAGCACTCAAATCGTTTTATTTAATACTTATGTGATAGGAATCTATTTATGAATGTGCTACAGCACACATGTCAAGGTCAAATGACAACATTGTGAGATCTGTTCTCCCCTTCCATCTTTACGTGCATTCCAGGGGTTGAACTAAGTCCCCATGTGCACAGCAAGGACCTTTATTTATTGAACCATCTCTCCAGTCTCGAAGAAAAAAGATTTAAGACACAAATAAAATAATTTAACTCCTCTACTCAAAACCCTTCACTTATTTCCCATTTATGGTCTGGGTAGAAGCAAAGTCCTTACTGTGGCCAACAGCCTCTGTGTGATGTGGTCCAAACCCCTGTCTGAAATGCTGGCTTTCTTCCTCCTCTGCCCTCCCGCCATTATGGACACACTGCTGCTCCCCAAGCACACCAGGCATTTCCCTTTTGTGGCACCTTTCCTTAAGTCACTTGCCTGTCTTGCTTTTATACTTTCACTGGTCTGAGAAAGCCCTGCTTTCTTAATATTCCCTTTCTCCTACTCTGCGATATTTTATAGACATAGCCACTATTTGGCATACTGTGTATCTTCATTGAACATCCCCTCCACTGTACTACAATGAAAATTCTACGACAGCAGGGATATTTGAATGTCTGTTTACTATAGCATGTTCAGAGAATATGTGGCACAGATGCTCAATGAATGTTCTTTAATTTGAATGCAAACACTTGAAGCTTGATTTAATCCTGAAAAGTATGATTATTCATTCTTTAAATGAAGAGTTAATATATTGTCAATATGACCATGGCTTGGTGGAAGGCACGAACTTAAGGTATAATTGTGGGAAATGTACAGATACTATACAAAAGAGAAAAACTAATGAGTTAGAATATGTCTGAACAGTGCTTATATTCAAATGCTAAACTAACATATTTAGGGAAAAACTAGCCTATCTTGAATTATCAAGATTCTCTCACCACAACATTCTAATTGACATATAAAACTGTACATATTTTAGGGTGTCATGTGATGCTTCAATATATATATCATGTATTGTTTAAATCAAGGTAAACATGGCTAAATCCTCAGGCATTTATTATGGCTGGTGTAAACACTACCCTTTCATGTAGGTTATAAATGCAGACACAGTATTGTACCTAAAGCCTCACTGTTGTACTGCAGCACACCACGATTCTTATCCTGATCCATCAGCATTGCCCCCATCCCTCTAGCCCTCTGCTCTCCCGACACACTGATCTACTTTCAACTTTCTTTAAGTCGGCCTTTTAAGATTTGGTGTCGGTTAGATCACGGCACTAATTACTCTTCTGTGCATGGGTTATGTCACTAGGTATAATGGCCTCCTGTTTTATCTGTATACTATAAATGAGAGATTCTAAGCTTCTTTACTTTTGGAAAGTTCTAGTATCAAAATTTTGTTATTCTCTGAACAAATACTACTGAACATTCTACTGTGACTATGTATTATATCTCTTTATCCATCAGTCGATGGATATTAATGTTGTGTCCACTTCATGGAATCCATGAACAACACTACTAAATATAACAGTAAAGAGTCTGAAGTGTTTATGTATTTTTTCTCCAATAGATTAATGGTTGTGTGTCTTTAATTAAAGTTTTATATCTATTTTGAATTGGTTGTGCACCTGGGAGAGATCATGGTCTGGTTTCTGCATGTGGACATCCAGCTTTTCTAAGACTATTTCTTGAAGAATCTGCCTGTGCTCTGATCTGTGTATCAGGCACATTTGCTGAGCATCCTAGCTTGTGCATTCCTTGCTTTACCTCTAGGCTCTGAACTCCTCTCCATTTGTCTATGTGTCTTTATTAGCTCTGGGATACATTTGGAAGTCAGGTAGTAGAATGAGTTCAGCTGTTGGTTTGCTTAAGAATGCAACAAACATTCTCTTTGTGGAAATGTTCTCTTTGTGGAATATTATTCATTCCCTGATAGAAACTACATTGCATCTGGAGGTCATTTTGAGGAGCACAGACATTTTAACAATATAGATTATTCCAATCAATGAACCTACCTTCCCAGGCTTTTATTCTAAATACTTTTATCCTCAAGTATTTTACTTTTATAGCTATTGAAAAATTGGTTTCTTGTCCTTATAGTTTTCAGTTAATTTGCTATTGATGGACAGTAATAGTACTGATTTTTCTATTGATTTTTGGATCCTACATTTTGGAAAAAATGTTTAATTGGCTCTAATAAGTTTTGGTGAGGCTTTAGATCTTTGGGATATTCAATAAATAAGGTCACATTACATATAAATAGTGAAAGTTTTCTTCCATTTTTTTCTTTCCCCTATTATTCTGGCTGGAACATTCAGTACTATGGTTGCATTAAGCCTCAAAAGTTAGCGTGTATGTATTCTGCAGAGGTATCTTCTAGCATGACCCATTCACTATGACATTAACTATTGGCT